TTTGTCTTCCTCAAGCATATCTTGTTAATTATTTTAAAGCATTCACTGTGAAGCCACTTTTTTTTAATCTTAATCAAAAAAACTCTTATTACAAAGAGGATTATCTAGCTGCAATCAATGATTCTTTTAATCAAGTTAAACAACTTCTGGAACAGGAGGGTGATTTGAAGATTATCCTTCGACTGATACGGCTCTTGGCCCTTATCAGCCTGAATGAATTCACATTTACACAAAAGATTTTTGATCTTTTCAATCACTTAAATAATAAAATCGTTTCTCCTGAGGCCAATAAATATCTTGCTGGAAATTATATGAAAAGTTAATATTCAAATATTTTTTAAAATGATATATATAACACAAATATATAACACTTTTTTATTTAAATGATTCTATAGCAATGTCACTTTTTCACCTTATGAAAATTTTGAATGAAGACTTAAAAGAAAATGGCCTTGACTCTCTAGTTATTGTCCATTATAATTGGGGTGGGATCTCAAAATTTTCCAAATATGAGAGCCATGGTATTGTAAAACTTACATACTCTTCTATTGATGAATTCAATTCTGCTCTTCAACAAATATCACCATCCATTGCTGTTGTTTTTGATAATATTTGGCACCAGTATATTTCAAAAGAGAATGAAGGAAGAGGTTCAATTGCGGATTCAATTATGAAGCTAAATGAAATGCAGTACAAAATGGATGAAACCAAAGTCAAGTTGCATAAAATAATTAATAATTCTCTTGATATGGATATAGTTGAAGAATGTGTTGACCTGTTGGAAGAACTTAAGTTTGTCGTCACTATTTTAGTGCTTGCTTCTTTAATGGTTTTTTTTTACCATTTAAACTCATTAAATATTTTATTTTAGGTTTATCCATTATGAAAATGTTAAACAAACATTGAATTCATTGTCACCAACTTGGGATGTAAAGGAATCCAAACAAGAAGATGTCGAATGGTTAGAAAATAAATTACAAGAGGTGGACAATATAATTAATCAGGTTTATAAATGGCTTGATGAGTGCAAAGACGTAATGAATTAATAAGTTTCCATTTTTTCTTTCTTTCAGCTATTTATTTTCAGAATTTTGATTTGATTTTTTTTTTATAAATAAAGATTTTAATTTGTTTTGAGTTTTGGAATATTTCAAAAAGAAATGTAAAGTATTTATTACATTAAACATTTCATTCCGTTATATAATAGAATATGGGAGCTTTAGAATTTGAACACCATTTCAAAAGGATTTGTCAAAAGAATATCAAAATCCCTTTCCAACCTTGTAGTGCAAAACAAGCTTTTTAATCAACAGTCAAGGATGGCTTGATTTTTACACGTACTTCCGGAATTCGTGGTCGAGATTTTGTTGGGCGAATGTAGTGTTCTCTAATCCTCCTTGGTAGTCTTCTCCACGGTCTTGGTGGTTTGCTTAATACCTCTTTCTTGTATATACCTAGAAAATTTTGACCAATCTGTAATGGTACAGAATAATTATGAATATGGCCATTTTACAAAGTTCAAAAGCTCCTATAAAGTTCCTTTATTTACTTATTTTCAATCTTGATTTATTTACAAGACCTTGCTTGTCTCTGATTTTTTCTTACATGAACGGCATTTTTTTTCCTATTTGTTTCGGATATTAAAGGCTTCTTTACAGCCTTCCTACCATAAATATTTTTGGCATGTAAAGTTCGCCTGGTGGTCTTTTCACTTATCACAATATTTAATTCTTTAAGATATTTGGTTAATTCATCAACAGTTGTTTTGGGTCTTTTCTTACTGCTTTTATAATCACGGCCTGAAAATTTTTTAGGTTTACCAATTCTAATAGCTGCAACGGTTTTATTTTTTTTGAAAATATCATTAAGAATAGTTGGCCTTTTTTAAATCGATAATTTTTCCGTGTTCAACTCGGACAGTAATTTGAAAATTTGTTTTGCAAGAAATTAATCTGAACGGTTATTAAATTCTTTTCTTTCAGCTATTTGTTTTCAAAATTTGACTTATTTTTAATTTTTAATTGAAAATAAACTTATTTTTGAAATTTTTTGTTATATATAGTATTTTTGAACTCCACTATCATTCTTCAACGGATTGTTTAATAAACAACTTCACCATAGTTGGATATAATAATTTCATAAAACACAAATATCCTGAAATTTATCTACCCACAGTGATAAAATATCATTTACAAATTAAATGTCATATATCTGTATCTGTCTGCCTTGTAGGACGGGACATCAGCTATTAACCAACTTTTGATTATAGATAATAAAAAAATATATTGTTAAATTTTAT